GGGCGCCCTGCGCCCGCTGGCACCGCGGCTGGAGGGCCACCGGGGCAGGGAGGGGTCGGTGCCGCAGCCCCGCTGCGCTGCCCTGGCTGCGGGTTGTGTTGTCACCCGGGCAGAGGTGGTGTCACCGCGGTCGTGGCGGGTGTTTAGGGCAGAGTCGGCTTCCTTGGAACTGCCAAAGCTGTTTTTGTACGCGCTGAGTCCCCCTCCTCCCCTACTTCAAGGTGAACTTCACAGTAGACCAGATACGGGCCATCATGGATAAAAAGGCCAACATCAGGAACATGTCGGTGATCGCCCACGTGGACCACGGCAAGTCCACGCTGACGGATTCCCTGGTGTGCAAGGCTGGGATCATCGCCTCAGCGCGGGCCGGGGAGACCCGGTTCACCGACACCCGCAAGGACGAGCAGGAACGGTGCATCACCATCAAATCCACGTGAGTGCCCTCTCCTCGGACTCCTGCTGCTGCCTGGGCTGAACTCAGGGGGGATTGGACTCCTCCAGGAGGTGCTGTTGGACTTTGGTCTAGTCCAGAAGCTCATGTCATGTTCCTGAGGGTCTTGAATGGTGGAGCAAGTGTTGACTGGCTTCTGCTCAATCATGGAGCAATTGTTTGCTGGGCATTGGGGAAGCAGGAGCTTCACCCTCCCAGTTCAGCACCAGGATTGTTGGATGTCCATGGATGCGGTGTGGAGACTCTTGGGAGCGTCTCTGGGGATGCACCTGGTGGCTGTGCTGCCACAGGGCGTGTGAGGACTCTGAGGGGCCAGAAAAGGGGTGGAGAACATGGTTGGGATTAGTAGGAAAAGCCTAAATCCACAATCTGGGAATGGAGCCCTTTATGCGTGCTGGAGAACTGTAGGGAGCTGGAGGAGGTTGGGATTCTGGAGGATGTTATGGTTTAGGAAGGACAGGTTGTAGCCTGTGCTTCTGTTGTCTCACACACTGACCTCCCTGGAATACGCTCCAGGAAATCCTGGAGCCCAGCATTTAGCTTGGAAAAGATCTCCAAGGACATCAACTCTAACTGGGAGCAGAGCACTGGGTGCCACCTCCAGTGGTGGGGCAGGGGTGTTTTGTGGGGCAGAACATCTCTGAGCTTTAGGGAGAAAACGATTCTGAGCACAATCATCATTTTAATAGTTTCTGCTTTCTTTCAGAGCCATTTCTCTGTTTTATGAGCTCTCTGAGAACGACTTGGCCTTCATCAAGCAGAGCAAGGATGGTTCCGGTTTCTTGATCAACCTCATTGACTCCCCTGGGCATGTGGACTTCTCCTCAGAGGTCACTGCAGCTCTGCGAGTCACTGACGGTGCCCTGGTCGTCGTGGACTGTGTCTCTGGTGAGGTTTTCTGCAGCTGGAGAGCGTTTTGGAGAACTTGGAGGTGGGGATAACTCACTGCTAACTCTGGTGTGTTTGGCAGGTGTGTGTGTGCAGACAGAGACTGTGCTGCGTCAGGCCATCGCCGAGAGGATCAAGCCTGTGCTGATGATGAACAAGATGGACCGGGCGCTGCTGGAGCTGCAGCTGGACCCAGAGGAGCTGTACCAGACCTTCCAGCGCATCGTGGAGAACGTCAACGTCATCATCTCCACCTACGGAGAGGGAGAGAGCGGCCCCATGGGCAACATCATGGTGAGGGGAGGCTCTGAGCGCTGGGGTTGGATTGAGGCGCTTCGAGAGGGAGCAGATCCCTCCTGAGTGAGAATTCCCTGTCCCAGGTGGAGGACAGGGGGATCTTGAGGGTGCCTGAACTCCCAGAGCCTGGGATGGCTTGGGGCTCTTGCTGGCTCCTCTCCCAAATTTCCAGTTCAAGGCTTGAGCAAATAAAGGCTGGGATTGTTGCCCAGAGCAGCTGTGGCTGCCTGGAAGTGTCCAAGGCCAGGCTGGACGGGGCTTGGAGCAGCCTGGGATCACGGAAGGTGTCCCTGCCCATGGCAGGGTGGAATGGGATGGTCTTTAATGTTACCTTCCCACCTGCTCTGCTGCTGGGTTTCTGGGAAGGGAGCAG